ATTTTTTAAAAAATTTATTAAAAATATAATTTAATAAATTATCAGTTCTATGATATGAATGACAATCATTACAATTTGGTAGGCTCATTAGAATCGTTAAGCCAGAATGATTCTCAAAATCGCTGGTTTAGAGGCACAACACCGTAACCTTTTTTAACCATGTAAGTATAAAAAGAAATCACAAAGATTATTGAGATGCGTTGTTATGAGATATGATTACAGCGGCCAATCCCATCATAAGACAAGATGAGAAAGAACAAATCGACAAAATTTTAATCCTAGTGGAAACCGTAGTACCTTTGATTTAACAGTTGGTTGGGAAAACTAGTGAGAATATAATCAAATGGAAAAGAAAGGGAGAAAACAAAAGAAGAAGAAGAAGAAGAAGAAGAGGCTACACTTGATCTTAGAACTAGAGGAAGAAATTTCAAACATGAAAAATTAATCAATAAAAAAATTGATGCAAAGCAAGTTTCAAAAGCTCCTTCCCACCAAGATTTGAGTGAAGAAAAAAACTACATTTACTACCTTAAACCTAATGGCAAATATCCAATATCCTTTAGTTTTGTTGTTGTCGCGCTAGCTAGCTACAATCACATTTTCTTCTAACTTCAACCCAGCACAATTTTGAGAAACAGTACCATCTTATCTTCTATTTTTAAAAGAAGATACCAAAAAAGAAGGGGGCAACAAGAGAAAAATGCAATTTTAGGGGGTTGGAAGGGAGAAGGGGAAAAGAGAAGAAATCAAGCTGCCCACCCAGAAACGGAAAAAACAGGTTGCTTGCTCGTAGATTCTGTGTGACAGCCAATTTTTTTGACCTTGATGCTATAGCTTGTGCTACAGATTTATGGGGCACTTCAAGTGTGAGAATTGATGTAGCTTTTAACTCAACTGGTGGTGGGAAAAGAAAAGGAGCTTTCTCCAACAGCAACCCAAAAAGGTTAACCAAGCAAATATAATCCCTTCTTGGACTGTCTTATGCATAGTACATGTACAAGCTGTTTGCGGCAGCGCAGGCAATTGAGTTTTCAGTTGGGTGCCATGCTAAATGCAGCAATTTTGTGGTGAAATCAAAAGAGTTTCCATTGGAATCCACTGAAGGGCTTTCTGATCCTGTTAGGATTTTACCATTAAAAGAAAGAAAAATTTATAAGGTAATGGTAAGCTCAATTAACATATATGTTGTGCTTTCAACTTCCCCAGGAGGCAAATAAGCATCTAAACAAAAACTGCAATGTAATCAAAAGGAAATGATTGAACAAAGAAATCACTAACCTCGCCTTACAACACGTGTTATACTACCAAGGGATCTGGAAGGTCTTGAGGGAGTCTGAACTTGTCTCCTGCAGGGGCATTCCACGTTTATGCTTTAACACAAATCATGCAGAAAAATCATAATTCATATCATTCTTCTGTTATATTTACCTCATCGGATTTTTGCTAGCTTCCAAGGTTGTTGCCTCATAACTTCCCGAAGTACAACCAAACACACGAAATAGATTGCTGTATCACATGAAAAATCACTATACATGCCCCAAAATAAGAACTAAAGAAAACAAAGAAATAAAACGAGTAGAGAAGACTTGTTCTAGAAAACAAACCTGTAAGATCCTGTTGCTACTCGCGATGCATCACCACTAAGGCAACACTCAAATTTGTCAAAAATTGAATCATTTTCATACAAATCACACAACTGGAACAATCAAGAACAGAATAATCAGCACTGACAAAACAAAGCACAAATATACTGGTGTTTGTTTGTTCCTTGCAAAGGCTAGGAAGTAGGAACCATACCTTTGGTCTCAAATGCTCATGAACCTGGAAGGTTGCAACAGGACCAGAATCCATGTTGATGTCCCACAACTGACACCAGAGTAACAAAGGGGTCAAGTTAGGTACCAATCATGGCAGTTTTCATACTTTCTGGACATCATCATGTCATACTTATTGCTTTCATACCCTCTCAAAATCAAATATAATGTACAGAGAAAATGGTTACAGATTGAATTAGATTCAGTCATTTTAAAGTGGTTTAAAAAAGCAGGCTGCAAGTGTCACTAGAATCACATGTAATTGCAAAATTTAGTTCCATACAAAAACCAGACATCAATATTGCAAACAAAGGCCCAAACCTTCAGAGTCATATAATCACGACTAAGTATATGTCTTCCATCCTTTGCAAATTTGATATCTGAGATTGATGCAATAATTTCTGTAAAAAATGATCTAGTACTGGGTACCTCTGGCTCCTCAAACCTGCCAGCATAAAATAATACTCATTAAAACACAGATCTTGTACATCAGAACCTACTAAACTTGTGTCTTTTTTCTTTTCTTTTCTCCACACAAGTCTCTAATGCAATCAAATCAAGCCTTGCCTCTCCTATCTCTTTGGACAGTGCAACACAGCAAAATAAAAGTTCATTGAAATACTCACAATTTGGCATGAGAGTCACATAATGCTGATTGCCGCAAATCAATGAGGCGAATAGAACCTTTTGAACTGCTGTATGCTAACATATTACAATGAGTAGGATGGAACTCCGCTGATGTTATAACTTCTGCAAGAATAGAAATAGTATTGGTTCAATCCTAAAGAGAGATTGTGGTGAACAAGTTTAGAATCCAAGACAATGGATCCGATAATTTATCTATAGGAACAAACAACAATAGCAGTTTGCTACAGATATGCTTTCTACAAAATAAATAAATAAATCAGCTTTCTTTCATCAGATGCAAAATCAACTGGGATGACCAGCTTGATCTAGAAATAGCAGCTGAAGATTGCCAACATATCATGATAATGCTCGATAGGTAAACAGAAAAGGAGATCAATGGTAGGGAAAATTTCCATAAACAAACAGATCTCACACAGTTGACATGCACATACAAATGTACACAAACTCCTTTTAAATTAAAAAATCAATAATCCACCTCCCAGAATGTGAACTTCATAAAGCAAAAATTCACTGGAACTGCAAACAACTTAAGGCAGCATGAGAAAATGCTAACTGCCTGAGACAATTACCCGTTAGATCCTCCATGTTTGCAGGCTTCACATCAACAATATTGAAACTCTGATTGCTAATTTCCAAGTTCCAAAGATTTATGCGAAGATCGTCAGCTGATATAAAAGTTTCGCCATCACTGTAAAAGATGAGGAATTCTTAGTAAGTTTCAGAAAATCCTGTAGAAAATGAAAAGCAAACTAAAGACTAGAAGAAAGAATAAGGAAAATTCCAATTAATGAAAAGTAAATACCTGTTATTTGAAATGGAATTAATATGATAATCATGAGCATGGGCATAAACTCGTCGACATCTCGCCACCAAGCCGGTCTCCTGACTTGTTACCTAAATATTTTAAAATTTAAGACTTAGCATGGCATATAAGACCAGACATGCATTCTAGATATTAGGGGTACATGGGGAAACAGTTAATATTCAGCTAAAATACATTAAGCTTTCTTGTGCAAGGATTTAATTTTAATGTGCCTACTGAACCTCAGGCACAACAAAACAAAAATAGCTAAAATGTGTTTTCATCTAGCCTAAAACAAAATAGCAGCAAGAAAATTAATAGACTGGGTTGAGTACTACTACCACAGGTAAACGAAGGGATGGTATGCCTCCTCGAGGGAATGAGAAATCATTGATCAAAGAGTTGTAGAATTTGTCTGGGCACCCTCCATTTGCAAGACAATGTCTGGGGATGGTCGAATTACTTGAACTAGCAATATTTCCATTTCCTGCACCTTTTGTGGGGTCTAAATTCATTTCAGAAACTTTCTTGATCTTCTTTTCTTGTACCTGTCCAATCCTCAGACAGAGAGCACAGAAATAAATGAGTATAGGGCAAAGCAACACACATTCCCTAGTATCAATAATTAAACATACTCAAAAATGGTTGTCAAAAGAATTTGCAAGAACTAATTTCATAATCATAACAAATATGTACATGAAATGAGGATATATTACCAAGTCCTTTTGATTCTTCCAACCACTTTTAACACACAGACAATATAGGAAGCATTTCTTCAATGTCATGAATTCATCTATTATGTATTGCATCATATGTCTTACGTAACTAAGCATATAAAAGCATCAGTGTGGACTTAACACCAACAAAGATATCATGCAGCCTGTTTATAAGCAAATGCAACCTTCCTCTTTACCTTCCAAAACTTAATGGTCTTATCATTGGTTGAAAGGAGAAACAAGGCAGCGTTTGCTGTTTGACACCATCTGATTTTATTGATTTTTTCCTCTATTTCCAAGCTCTTGAGATAGTCAAACTGACAAAAAAATGTACACAACAATAAGTGTGACAATCCAGAGTCTATAATTTATATCTATAAATAGTGAGATTTATGAAATCAAAATAAAAGAATACCTCAGGCTCATGGCTTTGAAACTCTGTCTTATAACGAAATTCAGGGTGCCTACTGACTTGATAATCCATCCTCTCTAGATTCCTCCTTGATCCACCATGCTATAAATCAAAGTACAATGTTATTTAATGTCAAAAAGGAAAAAAAAAAAAAGAAGAAAGAAAGTACGAAAGAAAGTAAAGCTAGGACAATATATTATCATGCACAGGGCTTTCAAATCAGCAAGGACGTACATCCTTTGAATCTGTCCTCTCAAAGAGAACAACCCGGCCCCCACGGTCACCAGTAGCAAGATGATCCCCGGTTTTATCAAATTCAATTGCTGAAATAATATCAACTGCAGAACCAAACATGAGGAAATCAGTGAAATCATTATGCTCGAAGACCAAATTTCAAATATTATAAAATCATTATGTTACCATTTAATAGTCCTTTGAAGAAAATGTGTTTCCATTGTAAGAACGCTTTTTTCAAGTTTGCTTTGTAAAAAAATCCCTATGTTACCCTTTAATGTCAAGATAAAAGCACCAACTAACATCTTAATATTGGAGAGAATAGAAGAAAAAAAATCCCAATTTAAACAGTGGGACAGTGTATGGTGGCAAGCCACCAAGGTTTTTTTTCAAGTTTGCTTTGTAAGTAATGTATTAAACAGATGATCCTAAAACTATTATCTACAAGGTAAAAAGTTTCCCAATCCGCAACTTCATACCTTGCATACACATCTTACCTGGTTACATCTTACAAGTTACAATATTAAACTTGCAACCTAACACTCATTCTTGCACTGCCCGATTGCAAAGCAACTTCATTATAGGAATGTGAGTCATTGTTATGAGAAGACTGAAAATCACACATACTCCTAAATAATAATGCAACCTAAGATAGACAACCAACATCTAAAATCCAGTTTACATTGAAGTCTAAAAGTTTCAATACACTTAATTGCATGCAGTTAAGCCCCATAACATTACTAAGACGGGGAAGAAAAAGCAATAGGATCCAACCCACTGTCAATGAGTTTAAACTAAAAGCGAATTGAAATTGTTGGTGCATGCAACATAAACACCATCGCCACTGGGACAACCAAGTTCACTGCCACACTGTTTATTTCTCCAATCTGAATGAAAGCATCATACGCACATGCAGCAAACCCACGGTTTTCTCAGAATCATTCACAATCAAACTCGCAACAAACAACAATTACTGACACGCCATGAAGCTAAGCCACAATTGCTTGAAAACCCACGATCCCAAATAGATCCAGAACACAAAAACAAACCCTAATTCCAACAATCGAGAAAAAAGGCCAATTGGATCCAAAACGAATGAAACCACACAATACATGAATAAAAAGCATACGCCCCAAGTGAAAAATTACCTTCTTGAACTTCTTCACCGGCTGCACGTTCACCGAAGACCTGAGAGAATTTCCAGTCAAGGGGCTGCGGTGGGTCAGCCGGAGCTGTGACGACCTCATCGGAACAACTGTTCATTTGGGTCCACAGTGTATTAGACAATCAAGTAATCGGAAATGGAATCAAGGGCCAAGATTTTCACTCGCAGAATCAAATCAAAGATCGCATCTTGTTTGTTATCTTTTTCTCCTTTCCTTTCTTCAATTGATGAAAAATGCTGCCTTTCTTATAATTCAACCATTGAAGAGCAGACCCAATTTCTCTCTCTATTAAAACAATATAAGAATTTTAAAAAAACTCAAAATAAAAAGATAAAAACTTCCTGTTTCCTCTCTCTCAAAGGAGAAAATTGGAAGTTTATATATTTTTTGGATTAAGAAATTAAAAAATAAAAATGGCCCCTATCTCTCTTTAATTTTTTTTTTTTTAATTTAAGAAGTAAAAATTAAGGTCTGTGATAAAGTAACATGCAGTGAGGTTTCTATTTTTACAGATGAGTTTGATTGGGTGGTGAGCTATGGAGGATTTGTTTCATTGGTTAGAAGGTGCGAGTGAGTTTGAAAAAGAGGATGTGAAAACTAAAATCTAATTATGGTTAGGGAAATATAAATTGAATAACAGAAAACGAAAGAATAGTACATCTTCTAAGGATGGCTTTACTTACAACTATTAATAAAATGACAAATTTTTTCGATATTAACAGTTTATCTTTTTATTAACAATTAGAAATAATATAATTTATTTTAAATAAAATTTTACAGTGGCCCTTTTTTTTAGAATATAAAGTTAGTATGCAAATTACAATTGTACATAAAAATTCCCTTAAATATTGTATGCATATATTCACTTAAATATTATACAAAATTCACAAATATTCTTGTGGTTTAATAATCACATTTGTTTTATAAATAACTTTTTATTCAAAATTTAACAGATGTGCGATTTTAGTCTCACACCCAACATTTAAAAAATATATATATATTAGTATAAAAGTCAATAACTTTATAAATATTTAAAGATTATGTTTTTCACGTTTTATAACTTCATTCCAAGTTTGTCTTTATAATAGTAGGATAAACTTGTCATACATAGCTCTTCACCTGTCCATTAATAATCATTAATCAATAGCAACAAAAGCTCTCTAATTCAATGAAAGCTAACAAGACTTAATTGGAATGAGTCACTTAAGATCAATATAATATTTTTTTCAATTAATTTGCATTAGTTTTAATATTGAATTTAAAATTTGACAGAGCAACAAGTTATTAAGCATATAACAATTTAAGACATGTGACATTATATGTGTCTCAATGTTCATAATAGGCTTATTTAATAGGTAATGTTAGATTAGAGTAGTTCAAGAGCTTTTGGAGGTATTACTAAGTGAATGGCAAAATTAGAAAAGAAGAAAAATATGGATGTTACTAAGTGTAGGGGGCTAGATCATGAAAATGACTAAGTTGAGGGGGCTGATAACAGGTTTTTATACATAATTTTATATAAATTGTTGAAAAAGGTGGGATTTGAATCGAGAGACATGCAAGTCACTGTTTTTTCGTGTGGGGAGGTTTGAACCCGTTGCCGTTGGATTGTTGGGTTGGAGAAGTCAAAGAATCGGACGGCTGTAGAATGGAGAGATAGGTTTTTGTGTATGTGGTCTTGGTTTGTATATTTTGATGTTGATTTTACAACGAAAAATATGGAATGGGCTTGTTGCTTTCTAACTTGGAAAAAAATGAAAAATGAAAAGCAGATTCTGATCTTCATTTGTTTTTCTCGTAG